TTGGGGCAAAGGATTCTTTTTACGGTATGTTTTGGAGGGGAATGGTAAGAATGCGGTATAAACTGCTTGTTGGATCAAGGTGGTGTAGGAACTCACTGCATTATCTAGGTCTTGAGGGGATTTTAACGATACTCTGAGATCTATTGCTTCTGCTATTGTTTGGCGGCAAAGGTTCCAGTTGACTGGGCCTCTGATAAATGAGGTAGGAGATAATTTGGGGATAGGAGATGCGGAAAGGGTTAGTTTTAGCGGACTGATGAAAGGAGTAATGTCTGAGGAAAGGTCATCAAGCCGTAAAACTGAATAATTTAACGGCCCTAGACCTTTGTGAATGAAGAAGTCAAGGAGGTCAGGGTTACGGTTAGGATCGATTGGCCAGTATGTAGGAGTATCATGGGAAAGGATGTTGCTATTGTAGGAATTAAGTGCAGACAGCAATGTTCGTCCGCCGGAGTTCGTGGTTCTGGCTCCCCATTGCTGATGTTTGGAATTAAGGTCTGCACCTATAAGGAAATGGTGTCCTAAGGAATTAAGAAAGGATATGAAGTTAGATTCGGCTATTGATGTTTTAGGTGGGGAGTATGCTGCCACAACTGTAACTGGAAAAAGTGAAGTTTGGATTGTTATTCCTGAGGTTTGTAGGAAATTATGTACTGGCAAAGGATAAAAGTGATGGGAAAGGAATTGATGGATGATGGCAGTAGTACCTCCATGTGAGTTAACTTTCTTGTGAGTTAGTACATCCTCCATGGTCAGTTCGATAAATCTTGTAGCCAGGTATGTTGAACTGTCATTTATTAGTTAGTCGAGCCTCAGTTATCAGGGATATGTCAATGTTATTGTCCTGTAGAAAAAAAGTTAGTTCGTTGATGTGCTTTCGAACACTATTCGCATTCCAGAGGAGAATGGAAAATGGTTTTATAGAGGCCATTTAAGGGATTCTTGGAGGTGGAATAAGGTTTGATATGACATTTGTAAATAAGGAGATAAGTGGTGTGATAAGAGATCTGAGTTCGGAGAGGAATGATGAAAGGAGGCTCGTAAGATCATTAGAATTGTTAGGGAGAGGGATGTGAATTTGGTGGTGACTGGACTTTTGGGTGTTATCAAGTTGCGGTGGTGGATTATGGGGTTGTGGTTGAGTTTGTGGCTGGGCCTGAGGTTGAGTAGGCTGTTCTATTTCTCCCAGTATTTGAGTATACGATACTTGATTGTTCTTAAATCTTATTTGTTGCCTTGGTGGTCTGAAAGTCCTGTATGTCTCTTCCTGTCTAGGAGCTGTTTGAAGTCTCGATTTTAATATTTTGTAGGTCTGGCATTCTTTGTAGTTTGCTGGGTGGTCTTTATGGCATAAAGACTTGTCTGATCCGACTTGTGTTGTTGCCCGCACCAAGCGGTGGCAATAACTTATAGTGTGGCCAAAAGATTGGTAATTATGGCATTGAAATATTTCCCTCTTGCTATATGGTTTTTCAACAACTATACTAGTATAGTACAGGCGTCTTAATTTGTAAATATTATCGACCCCAGTGGTGCGCTCTAGGTCTACAAAAAACAATGGTAGTGCTATTTTGTTATTTGTGCCCGGCTGCTCTTTATTTTCTTTAAATATATTAACAATCTGGTGGAAACTGAATCCTAGATCCGTTAATTCTTCTTTGATTGCATCAGTTGAAATCCTCTTATCTTGTTAAAGGGTGTAGGCCTCTTATCACTATGGGTTTGGGGTAAAAAATGGAGATTCATCTGTTTCGGTGTTTGTTTGTTGTGTAGTTATAGTTTTCGTTGAAGAAGTACCGGGTTGAAGGTCATTCATGTTATCACATGGGTTATCGGGTGTTGAGGGTGGCGTTTTTCTATTAGAACGTCTAGGCTTCTGCTTTACCGGTGAACTTCGAGAGCTGTTATTACCTAAACTCCTAGATCTTTTATTTTTGCTTATATCGCATCTCATGACGGTAGGGTGGTAAATGAAAAAGCGAAGAAAGAAGAAAATAAAAAAAATAAAAGTTTTTACTACGTAAGTAATTAAGTAGACTTGTAGAGGCCTCCTAAGTATACGTGTTCCCCCTTAGAAGGCCTTGAGGCAACTAAAGGGAGTGAGGGCAATGATAGCTAACTATGGCCTCTACCTATAAAACTATCGTGTCTTACACTGTAGTCTTAATGTTAATAAACAAGTTGTTACTCACTTTGTTTATGTTGAGTTGAATAGTAAATTGTTAACTGTTGAATTGTCACTGTTTTATTACACTAAAGTTCACTAATTAACTCACTTTGTGGGAGATGACGTAGCAGGTTGTTGATAGAAACTGGCGCATGCGCATTAAGGGTGTCAAAACTAGAGGATTAAAATAAATTCCAATAAATTCCATCAAATCACTCTTACCCTTCGTCCTAAACCTATGTCCTCTTGTCCAACAGTATCCTTTAATAATAAACGAATTATCCCTGTTTAACAAATCCGATACCTTGTACTCCACTTAGACAAACGTATGTTTCTGACCTGGCCCAATCCAGATACCCATTCCTCCATAAAGAAACTTCAAAACCATCCTCTCGTTTTGTAACTAACCATTTGTAAGTAAGCTATTGGTGTATCGGCAATGGCCAGCTTCTCCAAATAAATCCTGTGCGGTTGGTATAGCTGTAGTGTCCTCTCACAATTTCTAATCGGTTCCCATCCCGATGATGACCTTGGTCCACACCTACCTCTTGAGGTAGGAGCTTCAATAGAATTGTCTTTGGGGGAAAAGGTCATACCCTCCTTAGGTCGACTGTTAATATTGTAAGTAAGTATATAAGTATGAATGTGATTTTTGATTTATTATATTTTATTTTATTTTATATCAATATTTTACTTTAATTTTAATGATTATTGCAATCAGTAAAACTTCCATTTAATTGAAATTTTTCACATTAAGATAAAATTTTCATTTGTTTTGACATTGTCTTACTATTATATATATATATTGCAGTTTTTTTATGGAGGAATAGGTATCTGGATTGGGCCAGGTCAGAAACATACGTTTGTCTAAGTGGAGTACAAGGTATCGGATTTGTTAAACAGGGATAATTCGGGTATTATTAAAGGATACTGTTGGACAAGAGGACATAGGTTTACGACGAAGGGTAAGAGTGATTTGATGGAATTTATTGGAATTTATTTTAATCCTATAGTTTTGACATCCTTAATGCGCATGCGCCAGTTTCGATCAACAACCTGCTACGTCATCTCCCACAAAGTATCTTAATTACCAGTTAATTAGTGAACTTTAGTGTAATAAAACAGTGACAATTCAACAGTTAACAATTTACTATTCAACTCAACATAAACAAAGTGAGTAACAACTTGTTTATTAACATTAAGACTACAGTGTAAGACACGATAGTTTTATAGGTAGAGGCCATAGTTAGCTATCATTGCCCTCACTCCCTTTAGTTGCCTCAAGGCCTTCTAAGGGGGAACACGTATACTTAGGAGGCCTCTACAAGTCTACTTAATTACTTACGTAGTAAAAACTTTTATTTTTTTTATTTTCTTCTTTCTTAGCTTTTTCATTTACCACCCTACCGTCATGAGATGCGATATGTCTAGCAAAAATAAAAGATCTAGGAGTTTAGGTAATAACAGCTCTCGAAGTTCACCGGTAAAGCAGAAGCCTAGACGTTCTAATAGAAAAACGCCACCCTCAACACCCGATAACCCATGTGATAACATGAATGACCTTCAACCCGGTACTTCTTCAACGAAAACTATGACTACACAACAAACAAACACCGAAACAGATGAATCTCCATTTTTTACCCCAAACCCATATCAATTACTGTCATTAGAAGAAACAATGGAAATAACACCAACCCCCAGAGAGCCAAAACCACCTCCTATATTCATTGTAAATATAAAAAATTTTCCGCTATTTTGCCAGCATCTAAATAAACTACTGGACAATGGCAAATACATATGCCAAACTCGAATCAATGACACCAAGTTGATGCCAGATTCCCCTGAAACATATAAAAAAATTGTCAAATATTTAACTGATACAAAGGTGGAATTTCACACTTATCAGTTATTCCAAGAGAGAGCACTAAGAGTAGTGATAAGAGGCCTACACCCTTTAACAAGATAAGAAGATTCCAATTGATGCAATCAAAAAAGAATTAACGGATCTAGGATTCAGTTTCCAGCAGATTGTTAATATATTTAAAGAAAATAAAGAGCAGCCGGGCACAAATAACAAAATAGCACTACCATTGTTTTTTGTAGACCTAGAGCGCACCACTGGGGTCGATAATATTTACAAATTAAGACGCCTGTACTATACTAGTATAGTTGTTGAAAAACCATATAGCAAGAGGGAAATATTTCAATGCCATAATTACCAATCTTTTGGCCACACTATAAGTTATTGCCACCGCTTGGTGCGGGCAACAACACAAGTCGGATCAGACAAGTCTTTATGCCATAAAGACCACCCAGCAAACTACAAAGAATGCCAGACCTACAAAATATTAAAATCGAGACTTCAAACAGCTCCTAGACAGGAAGAGACATACAGGACTTTCAGACCACCAAGGCAACAAATAAGATTTAAGAACAATCAAGTATCGTATACTCAAATACTGGGAGAAATAGAACAGCCTACTCAACCTCAGGCCCAGCCACAAACTCAACCACAACCCCATAATCCACCACCGCAACTTGATAACACCCAAAAGTCCAGTCACCACCAAATTCACATCCCTCTCCAATGTACATAAGTTAAGTTTCAGCTGGTTAAAACTATCTCAAAATGTCACTTGAATAAGTATTCAATGGATGCATGAAACAAATTTACCTTATTCGAACCCCACACAAAGATAATAATGAATAATAAAATTAAATCAAACATGTGGTGTCATTATTGAAGTCTATTGGATAATACTATGAAGTGGTATATGATCCTTCAAGGGATTATAAAATACTCAAAGCTTATCGTAATCTGATATTCTACAAATTAATGATACTTACCTGGATTAAGGTGGGAATTCATAGGACTTGACGAATGTAATTCCGTGTTATTACCACTGGTGGATGAGAATATAAGTTGACTACAAGGAATACATTTATTTCCTCTTGTGGTCAATGTCGGTATTACTTCATGGCTTTGTAAATGCTTGTCAAATCCTCTGGTGCTATTTTCTCCAAACAAATGTCCAATGTTAATAATTTGATCATTGCTTCGGATGCCATTTAATGTTGATATCGGTTTCTCTTTTGTTAGTTTTAAGGAATTCATATTTGACCCCTCATTTATAAGATCCAAGTGCTTCTCATTGGCATCTAATGGGCGCTTGTTAATATCGTAACCTTTACTTCCATCTGGTACCGGAAATAATGTATAGTATTTCCTTAAATTTTCCTGTTGCGTTGGGTCCAGTTCTGTTTTAAGAGTGGCATTGTTTTTTAAAGGTACAGCCTGGAAATAGTTTTTTATATGCTTGAAAAACTTAAATCTTTTATTCCTTCGATTTCTCAATCGGTCACCATTCACATTTCGTCTTATCTGATGGAAGTATCTAAACGGTAGCCGGGTCTTATGGACTCTATGCTCAAGATATCCGTTCCATGGATTTAATTTGAGAGAACCCCTGGCTTCATCTAATGAAAAACCCTTTGGACAATAAAATGGTGGGAAAATATAATATTTTTCAGGTTGAATAGGAAATTCACGGTCAATCGCGTTTTCTATTACTTCCGTTTTCGAAACATTTTCATACATCAGGTGATGCGATTTTTCTTCTGGGTTCTCGTCACCCTTACGCTTGTTCCTTACTCGACTGGGCTCATTTAACACAGTACGTGTTTCGTTGAGTTTCCTTTCTAATGCATCCTGAAGACGAATTAAAGAATCTCGATCATTCGCAAATAAAATTATTGGCACGGATGGATCATTGATAATTCCGTGTTCCATTTCAATCGTTATTGTATCATTAGTACTGTTTGCTTGGGCCACCGACGAGTTTAATTTACGATGTTTGTCACCTTTATCCTGGGAGTTCAAATATATTTCTTTATTTGTCTTGTTGACTTCATTTTTATTATCAACTGCTGCGATTAACAGGAAATCTGGGTTCTCGTCACCCTTACGCTTGTTCCTTACTCGACTAGGCTCTTTTAGCACAGTACGTGTTTCGTTGAGTCTCCTTTCTAATGCATCCTGAAGACGAATTAAAGAATCTCGATCATTCGCAAATAAAATTATTGGCACGGATGGATCATTGATAATTCCGTGTTCCATTTCAATCGTTATTGTATCATTAGTACTGTTTGCTTGGGCCACCGACGAGTTTAATTTACGATGTTTGTCACCTTTATCGGGGGAATTCAAATATATTTCTTTATTTGTCTTGTTGACTTCATTTTTATTATCAACTGCTGCGATTAACAGGAAATCCGGGTTCTCGTCACCCTTACGCTTGTTCCTTACTCGACTAGGCTCTTTTAGCACAGTACGTGTTTCGTTGAGTCTCCTTTCTAATGCATACTGAAGACGAATTAAAGAATCTCGATCATTCGCAAATAAAATTATTGGCACGGATGGATCATTGATAATTCCGTGTTCCATTTCAATCGTTATTGTATCATTAGTACCGTTTGCGTGGGCCACCGACGAGTTTAATTTACGATGTTTGTCACCTTTATCGGGGAAATTCAAATATATTTCTTTATTTGTCTTGTTGACTTCATTTTTATTATCAACTGCTGCGATTAACAGGAAATCTGGGTTCTCGTCACCCTTACGCTTGTTCCTTACTCGACTAGGCTCTTTTAGCACAGTACGTGTTTCGTTGAGTTTCCTTTCTACTTCATCCTGTAGACGTATTAAAGAATCTCGATCACTCACAAATGAAATAATTGGCACGGATGGATCATTGATAATTCCGTGTTCCATTTCAATCGTTATTGTATCATTAGTACTGTTTGCGTAGGCCACCGACGAGTTTAATTTACAATGTTTGTCACCTTTATCGGGGTAATTGAAATATATTTCTTTATTTGTCTTGGTAACTTCATTTTTATTATCAACTGCTACATTTATCGGCGACGTAGCATTTACATTAGTTCCATTAGTTATGGAGATGTTTCTTGCCATTTTTACGGATGCTGAATCATTTAGGCCTACCTGCGATATGACATTGTTCTTGACTGATGATACTTTGAGTTCCGACTTATATGAATTTTCTCCTTCTGGAATTGATTTCTTGGGTCTCTTCCGTCGTTTGTGTGGGTTTCTTGACTGCGGCATTAGTCCTGCCATTGACAAAGACGAAATCTCTGCTTTCGGTGCGATACTCCTAAACCTTACTGGTTGCCTTTTGGTATTCACTGCTTCGTCGCAAGAACAACAGAACCCCTAAAAAAAATAAAAAAATAACATAATTTGTATTTGTTCCACCACTAATTATTAAAAAGATGTGCATCTACTGAATTATCTTCAATGACAAGCATTGTATATATTTTTTAGTTTTTGTATAGTGCATATTTGAACTAGATGAATTTTTTTAGGATATTTTATTAAACTAAAGAAGATGTGATGAATTTGTTATATTTATATGATTAAGGAGGTGCTGAATACCTTTTCTATTATTTTCACCATTTGTGAGTGAAAATTATAAAATTACTTTTTTTTAAATATAAAGAATAAATTCAATCTACAATTGGTTAAGAAAGTTATTATAGTTATTAAGAAAATTGCTTTCAATCATATGGTACTGAAAGTACTTCCTCTTTCGTGTCTCGCTTAATCGTTAGATAAAAATGTAAATACTAATTAAATATGCACATGTTTTCAAGTTACCTCACTGTAAGGTATAGGTTTGCCATTGTAGTAAGCTCTGCCACATGTTGGATTATCTGACACATCACATCCTTCAAAATGCGGGCAATTAGCCTTACTTATTATTTCTTCATAGGCCTTCGCATTTACAATCTGAAATGGATAATTCATTATGCAAGCGACAATATTTGTCACACTTTTATATATTATTTACAAAATATGACATCATAATTAGGATAAAACGTAATGAAATTAATTAGAATAAAATCAAGGAGCTAAAAAAGATGAAAACTACCTTATAATTTAGGTTGACACTTATATTCTATATATATATATACCCTGACAGGCAAAAAATTCCACCTATTGTTTTTAATGAATAAATAGGTAATCTTTTTGTTTGTTTTCAATTGAGAATGTTAATATTGAGGACAATAACAATTATTTCTTAATTCAATGAAATGATTCTAGATTCCAATGTTTACTTTCTATAGAATCAAAATGTTTATTCAGTATCATTAGTTCAATGCTGTTTCTTGCAGCACATTTCTTAGTCTTCGGCTTTTAATTTTTTCAATATTAAGTTTAAAAATGCCTCTTAGTGCCTCTTAATCCATTTATATAAATTTGTAATATTTTCTCTTACTAACCGTTGTTTGAGCACTGAGGGTGTTCATGTACTGATACATGTTTGGTAGGTAAGTAAAAATGTCAAGGGGGGGGGGAGGATTTCCCAGTTGTCCTTTTTCAGATAGCAAAAGGTAAGTAAACAAGGTTAGAGGGGAAGGGAGGGAAACATTTGTTGTTTGTAGAATATACATAATTTGCTGACAAATATTTCAGACGTGTACAATATTTGAGTTATTTCATATGGTTACAAACATATTGTATACCATATCACATGCTCTAGCCCAAACTGTAATTCTTCTTATATAGGAGAAACCAAAAACTATTTAAAAAAACGAATCTATCAACACAAATATAGCATCTCCACACGAAACCCGTTTGCCTCAAAACTAGCGGAACATGCCATAACCCTAAACCACACATTTGATTTCGAAAACCCAACTATACTCGCCACAGTCACCAATCACCAAAAACGACTATTATCGGAATCTATATTCACTAATTTGGAAAAAAATAATCCGGTAAACCATAAAGTAGACAAAGAAAAGATCTGCAGTACATATTCAAATATTTTCCGCCTCCTGAAACAATAGCCTATGTAATCCTTAATATAACATATTAATCTTATTACGTTAGAATTAACAGCTGAAAAGCTAGATTTTAGGAAAGATGGAGTCCAAGCTCACCGCTTCCTTTCTATAATCAACAAGAACACAGAAACTAAGAAGAATAATCCTTTTGTTACGGCGTCCGGAAAAAATCTTACATCGGATTTGGCTATTACCAAGTTCTTCTGTTCATATTACTCCAAGGCTAGTAATTACCATACAAGACCCATTCAGAAAGTGAAATTTAAAGAATCTGCAACCTGTCTCAATGAATCAGAAACGTCGATTTTTTGTTCCCTATTCACTGCTATTGAGTTAAATTCAGCTATTGAAAAGATGCCATGTAAAAAAAGCGCAGGGCCAGATAATATCCTTCCTGAATTTATAAAACATCTAGGGAAGTCTGCGAGGGCTATTCTCCTGCGGTTTATGAACAAGATATGGAGAAAAGGATTGCCAAGTGCATGGCGGAAGGCTGAAATAATCCCTATCCCTAAGAAAGGTAAGACTCCAAACAAACCAGAACACTGTAGACCAATCGCCCTCACCAGCATGCTCTCAAAATTGTTTGAACGACTAGTATTGTCTCGACTTGAGAATTTCATGGAAAATAAGCGAGCTATCTCTGACAATTTAGGACTACAACAAGCAGAATTTAGAAAACACAGGAACACGCTGGAGCACATGGCATACCTTTCACATGAAATAAAAAATGGTTTCCACAAAAAGCAAAGTACATTGGCGATTTTTGTAGACTTTAAAGCAGCATTTGATAAAGTCTGGAGAGAAATGCTGTTACTAAAAATTAGAAATATGGGTGTGGCAGGTAATATGTTCAAATGCATTTACTCTTTTTTAGCGCAGAGACATATCCGGGTAAAATATAATGGTGTAGTTTCACCTTATAAACAGACAAGAAAAGGAGTCCCCCAGGGTGCAGTTTTAAGTCCAATTTTGTTTAACATTATGATTAATGATGTAATTGAAATACTAGAAGCTATTCCCGGAGTTCAAACACTTCTCTATGCAGACGACTTAGTTATCTGGGCTACTAGTAGCCACATGAAAGCTATTGAATGTTGCTTAAATAATGTTTTAATATCATTACATAAATGGACGGTGGACAACCAGTTTGAGGTTAATACTATCAAAACTCATTATCAAATCTTTACCCTCTCGACTAAAAAACAAGAAGTAGATATTATATATAATAATGAGAAGCTGACTCAGACTGATTCTGCAACATACTTGGGTATAAAATTAGACTGCAAACTTACTTGGAAGTACCATTTAGATAAATTAATTGAGCAAGGAGAAGGCAGATTAAGCTTGCTAAAAAGACTGGCAGGAATTAAATGGTGCGCTCACGAAGAATTACTAACCCTGGCATACAAGTCATACATTAGACCTGTAATGGAATATGGTGGTGAGATATTATTGACTGCATCAGAAAACTCACTGCATGCCTTGGATATGGTGCAAAACAAGGCTTTGAGACTGATTACAGGGGCTGCGAAATCCACACCAATTGCAGCACTCCAGCTACAAACGGGAATAGAACCACTTCAAACAAGGAGAGAAGTAGCAGCAATCTGCCTTACAGAGAGAATGAAAAGACTAGGTTTGAAGTACTGGGCTGCTCAAGAAACATCTGTCCAGCGCCTCAAGACGCAAAAACCACTAAGAGTAAAAGTTATAGAACTACTGGAAAGAAATCACCTAGATCTAGGCATGAGTCTGCCATTTAATAAATGCAGTGACCATCAAAGATTTATTGCAGAGGCACGGCTAGATCTAACACAACCAGTAAGGAAACACCAAACACCTGAGTGGGAATTGAAAGCTCTTGCTTCGGAAACAATAAATAGCCGCTACTCCGAGCAGAACTGGCTCCACGTATACACCGACGGCTCCGCTCAAGCAGCTACGCGGAATGCAGGAGCAGGAGTATACTGCCAAGATTTCATGTTATCCATCCCTGCTGGTAGCCGGGGAACAAACTTTGATGGAGAAGTCAAAGCCATTTCGGCAGCATTGACTGCAATAGAAAAAGAACTCACCTTTTCCCAAGTTGTGATCTTTGTCGATTCACAAGCAGCCATACTGTCGATCTGCAATGGCCTGGACCATCCTGATATCACTAGTGCCAGAAATCGGATTAATGACTTAATTAAAAAAGGAATCCGAGTGGCTTTCCAATGGGTTCCAAGCCATTGCGGGCTACCAGGAAACGAAAAAGCTGATGAGCTCGCACGGATCGCCTCGGAAATGCCACAAACTAATCCCCCGCTGCCCTACGAATCTGTTAAAAGGATTTTAAAATCATTTTACAAGGAAGAGAATAAGATTTGGCAAAAGCGACAGGCAGCGGGGAAAAAATGGGAATGTTTAACAGAGGAGCCGATAAAACAAACCAAAAATAGGAAAGAATCGGTGGCAAACTTCCGCATGGCAACAGGGCACGATTACCTGCAAAGGCATTTACATAGGATCGGAGTGGTGGAAAGTCCTGTGTGCCCTCTTTGCCAACAGGACGAGATGTACGACGTGCACCTCCCAGTTTGCCCCGCTCTGTCAGATGTCCGCAGTACTTCTGATGGGATCGGAACAAATGTAAACAAACGATTCATGGCGGAATTGTACTGGGCTGCCAGAAGCCGACTGGCCTAATAGCCAACGGCAGGGCGTTTAATAAAAAAAAAAAAAAGTTGGAATTTTTTTAAGTTAGTTTTTGGCCAGATTGGTATTTTATTTGGTATTAATTCATCTTTGTTATTCTAAGGGGACTTAGTACCAGAATAAAGTTCTATTTTCTATTCTATTCTATTCTATTCTATTCTATAACACAAACTTATATTATGATAAATATATGTTGTCCTAAGTATAATTTGCATACATTGAAATTGTCTTTATTATAAAAATTATTCATCTAACCCTTGTATACTTGCTATCAAACTAAGCTATATTTATCTTAATTGGCACCTTTTGCTTATGTTCATTTTAATACTAGTCAATAGTCAAATTTCTGTAACCATATGAAATAACTCAAATATTGTACACGTCTGAAATATTTGTCAGCAAATTATGTATATTCTACGAACAACAAATGTTACCCTCCCTTCCCCTCTAACCTTGTTTACTTACCCTTTGCTATCTGAAAAAGGACAACTGGGGAATCCTCCCCACCCCCTGACCTTTTTACTTACCTACCAAACATGTGTCAGTACATGAACAACCTCAGTGCTCAAACCACGGTTAGTAAGAGAAAATATTACAAATTTATATAAATGGATTATATACATTATTTTTTATTTTTAGCTTTGTATAACTATTTTAATATGTGTATTACAATATTAGTTAAGATTCATGTGCCATCAATCACTATAGTTTATTATTTATAATTAGCGGTCGTATACTATTATATCTCTGATTGTAATTTTAAAAAAAACATTTTCAGCCCTGAAGATGACCCACATGTTTGGGTTGAAACGTTGGCAAAAAAAAAATTAAAAAAGACTGCGTCCTGAATATTTATCACCCATGATAGTTATCTACAGTGTTGTTTTCTTTATTTCAAAGTTATTTTTGTTTCTTCGTACTTTTTTTCTAGCCAAAGGTAAGTTTTTTCTTTTTATTTATTATTAGTTCTCTATTAAAACTTTTCTATTTTGTTAACAGTTTCTTTTTTTTTTTTTTTTTTTTTACATCTTCACTTTCTCTTTTCTTATTCTAGTGTTCTTTTTCTCTTACTATTATATATATTTATTAAAGATTAAAATTTTTCGTTTCGTGTTTTCTTTAGATTTAAAGTAATTATTCTTTCTTTTTCTTCTTATTATATATATTTATTCTAGTTTAAAGTTATATTTTCGTGTTTTCTTTATATTTATAGTTTTTCTTCTTGTCGTTTTCAAAGTAATT